TCGGTGCGATAATGGCAATAGGCTGGAGGGCAGCGATGATTGAAATCTATTCCCGGCCGGAGCCAGGTTTCCGTGAGAGCCACAACATCACATTTCCCTGTCTCCATCCTCAGCTGCGACCATTTGTTTTCCACGCCACACGCATTTTTGTATGCAATGTGCAATGGAACTTCTTCCATAGTGTTTGGCTCTTCGCTAAAGAAGGATGACTCCTCGAGATTCACTCCAGAGCTTGTGCCCCGTTTTTAGGGCCTATTTTTTCTTGATCGTGGCCTTTTTGTTAGTTCCCCAAATGAGCCAGGTTTTCTATCCTGTTTTGGTCTGTCTGATCATTGAACCTTCGGTGATCTCAGCAGAATCTCCCTATAAGGCGGCTTTGGTTCGAGAGGGCTTACATTTTCACGGGCCCTGGAATGGAGCTGGAGGGTCCCTGCGTCCTTGTTTTTACTGGTCAGTTTGGGCAGAACCACCCTTACTTGACGCGCTCATACCACCCATGAGATGGTTTCTACTTTCAGTTTCCTACCGGGTTGATCGTCGAGTGTCATTATGATATTGCTACCCGAGGATGTCCGGATTTTTTCGGCTTCTGCTAGAAGCCTGTCCCTATGTCTGTGGCTCCCGAATTCTACTATTATAGACCTAAGCTCGGCTGCCTCTGTCTCTTTATGGTCCATCCACCGCCTAAGTCTGAGTACTCTCTTAAGAAGTACATGTTCGGGGATTGTTGCTGCTCCTACTAACGTGGCCAAGTAATTTCGCACGTATCGGTCCATCAGTCTACCTTGCCTCATTAATGGCTGTGGTACACCGTGGATGAGTACGTTGCGCCGTCTACCTATGGATTCATCGGTGTTCTTCCGTAGCTTCTCAGCCACCTCAGTCAGGATATTGTTTTATTTCCTGAGGTGATTTAGGTTATCCTCATGCCTGTCCATCTGTCTGGCTAAGTTCGCAAGGGTGGCTGTGATTCCACCATTGATTGTCATGCTAGCGGGTGCTCCCTTTCGTTTTCACCCTTCATTTTCTGCTTTTTCGCCTTTTTACTTACATTTTTAGGCACTGTAATTCCCTCTACCGAGGGTGGAACAGGAGCCACGCCCTCCTTCCTTCTGGACTTTAGTTTAGACCTGACTGCCTGCTTTTCCCTTTTCTTCAGGTCCCTCAGTATAGTTGTGCAGGCTGAGCACACCCACTTCAGGAGTTTGTGTTTCCCGTAAATTTGGAAGTTGCAGCCCGTTAGCCCACTGCATTTCGGGTGACAACAGGTGCTGCAGGTGTCCCAGCCTATGGTCACAAACCTCTGCGGTGCAGTTCACCTATCTGCATGGATACTCCTTGGATTTCGTGTCCGTCTTGCATTTCCCTGTGGAGGACCTTGCGCTGGTGACCATGCCAATCTGTTTAAGCCGCATGTCAATCATTAAAACGAGGTTGGAATTTTTTAAAGAGATCAAAATGTGAGCAAAGAGAATATTCAGAATAAACTGCGGACGCTTTTAAGATGAAGCCTTTGTTAATGTACGCTACAAATCTAGGATATATGAGGTTTCGTGCGATAGAATCAGAAAACCGATGGTATTACGCTTTGAGACAATTGAACCCCACCAAGATACACAGAACGATGTGGGCTCGCCTTGTGCGTTTTCTTTTCCCAAACTTCTAAAACGTTTTTCACAGTTCCTAAATCTCTCAATTTTGGACTCCTTCCATGATTTTGGCGACTTGTTTATTCTTAGGACTCCCCACGTCAAAATTTCGAACCGCGCAGTTCCAAGGTCAGTTAAGTTAGGGTCAGGTTAGATCAGGTTGTACAAGACTGATAATGACCACGGCCATTATTATTACATTAAACATTCTATTCTGGAAAGAGCTCCAGCCATCGCTCATTCAGGGCGCGCTTAAATGCAATCACACTTCTTAAATCTGCTAATTTTTTCGGCAACCTGTTCCAACTGTTCACCACTCTGTTGCTGAAGAAGCTGGATCTAACAATCAGGTTGCACCGCTGCTTATGTAGTTCGTACCCGTTCCCTCTAGTTTCTTGGTGGATACCCTCCTGAAACATGCTCTCTTTCCTTACTCCCGAGAGCTCCTTTACAATTTTAAAGGTCTCCAGTAAGTCTCCCCTTAGTCTTCGCCTTTCTGGCGAGAAGTGACTAAAGTCTTTTAGCCTGTCTTTGTATGACTAAACCTTTTGACCTTCAGTCATTCACGTGGCTAGTCTATGGACTTTCTCTAAACTGCCTGCATCCTTTTTGAAGAAGGGTGCCCAAGCCTGCACGCAGTACTCCAAGTGCGGCCTGACTGTGGCTTTGCACAGGGGGTGGAATACGTCGGGTTTCCTACACGATAGTACCGATTTGAGCCTGAACAGCTCTCTCCTCGCTCTCGCCGCAACCTGTACACACTGATTCTCTCAGCAGAAATCTGCCGCCACCGATATTCTCAAGCCTCTGCTGGTTCTTATAATCTCTGTAGTGAAATCCCTTCCACCCAATTGGATTGACAACTGTTCATCAGCACGGAACGTAAATTACTTTCCTCTGCATTCAGTTGAGTTCAGTTTGCAGAGGACGATGTGTGGCCCGGGCCAATCTTACGTCCAGATCGATGTGTTGTAGGCTGACAGGACAATTCAGGTCAGATCAGATTCAGTTCAATTCGGTTCAGTATGTACAAGACGAAATGTTGCTTCCAGCCGATCGACTGTCCAGATTGTTGTGTCGTCGGCAGGCGTTTGTAGCTTCAAACACTGCGTGTTTCCTAATCCAACGATCAACCGTTGGTGGGTCTAGTTGTCTCAATCTTCAGTATACGTTCTCAGCTGTGTGTTCCTGAAAAAAGACAGATGAGACTCAGCGGTCGACGCCTGGGCCAAGCTGCCATAGGTTAGTATGAAGAAACATGCTCCTGAGCCTTGGCACCTGGCGAAGTTGTCATGAAATTTAAAATGTTGGCAACTGGTAGATTCACAGAAAATACCTAACAGAAAATATCTTTCTCTAGCATACATCCACATCTGTAACATCAAGCCTTACCAGCTAGTTTGCGAGTGTTTTATTAACTCCTTACTCCTCTGAAGGCCGTATCTCGGTAGACTGTTCTCCAACACTCATCCAGGGCGGTCTTGAATGCCACTACAGTGCTGCATCTGACCACGTGTTTTGACAGCCTATTCCGCAGTGGGATCACCCTGTTGGTGAAGAACCTTGCCTGAGTTGCAGCCGGTGGTGATGACGCTGGAATCTGAAGTTGTGCCCCCCGGTGCCATTTTACGGGATCGCAGAAGATAATTCTTCGCTTTTCATGTCTGACAAACCGTTCATTATTTTTAACGTTTCAATCAAGTCACCTCTCGTGCGTCTGCGTCGAAGGGAAAACAAGCTTAAGTCCTTAAGTCTGTCCTCGTAATCCTTGTGGTTCTGACCACATACCATTCGGGTGGCTAGCCGTTGAACTCTTTCCTGGCAATCTAGGTCCTTCGGAAAGTATGGTGCCCATGCCTGGACACAAAAATCTAAATGTGGCCGGACGATAGCCTTTTACAGCGGGACCAGAACCTGCGGGTCTCTGCAGTACATCGTGGCCCGTATCCTAAATAGTTCGTCCCTAGCCTCATTGGCCGACGCTATGCACTGCCTGGAGGGCTTGAAGTCCTTAGAAACCACCTTCCCTAGGTCCTTGGCATGCGTCACCTCCATCAACTGCCCTATCTGATCACGGATGCCGACCTTTCTTGCCTCTAACCGTTGACATTTGGCTAGGTTTAACGGCAGGTCCCACTTATGTGACC